TAAATATTAATTGATTAATTGTAATAAATATACATTATTGGAATAAATAAAATTTCCCCAAGGATACTAGTTTGATATACTGTATTTCATCATTCTTAAGATCAAGGATTGTGTGAGCCCATGAGTTTGAGACCAGCCAGGGTAACATAGTGAAACCCTGTCTATATAAAAAATTTACAAATTAGCTGGGCATGATGGTGCACACCTGTGGTCTCAGCTACTTTGGAGGCTGAGATAGGAGGATTGCTTGAGCCTGGGAGGTTGGGGCTGCAGTGAGCTGTGATCGTGCTACTGTACTCTAGCCTGGACAACAGAGTGAGACCCTGTCTTAAAAAAAAGAGCATTGTGTCATAGTTTACTTTTACATAAATTCTTAGTGTTACATAAAATAATGGCATAGAATTTTGAGTAGTCATCACCTGGTAAATTTTTAGTCCCCTTTTGTTTCACCATGGAGATGCTACTCCAACACCCTTTGCTGCTCAGTGAGAAAAATACTTTAAAAAAATCTTCAGAGTTGAATTGCCAGCTGCTTACATGGGCCAACTTGGACTTCAGAATAAGAATATACTATTATCATTAAAACTTAGCCATGTTTAAGCCATGGATTAATTATTGAGTAAAATGGGCAGGGGAAGCAGGGGTGATGACCTGGAGAATGTGAACTGCTGTAGAATTTTGTCAGTATTGAAGAAATTCCCAAGATCTTTCTAAATTTCCAAACTTACTGATATCATGAGAACATTTTTCCATAAAGTGCTATATTGTATGATCTACCTTATAAGACTATTAAAATTAATGGTGCCAGAAAAATAATGTACTTGTGATAACATGTATGACATTAACCATGAAATAACCTTAATCATCAAATAAACAAAATTTTTAGTCATAAGTAACGTTTAGAACAAATAGAGAATTGTAATAGCTATCCGTAGAATAGGTAGAAAATGATATAATATGGAATTGCAGGTCTAAGATAATCAGCTGTTCCCTATTACCATAGTTAACTTGCTTTTACTCTTAAACCTTTGTATTATTTTGAAATGGAAATTATATCTTATAAAAGTAATGCCTACTCTGCATTGTTGACCTTCAGATTTCCTGGAGTCAAATTCTTGAATGCTAAATCCACTAAAGCCAAGGGTCTACAATACTATAAAGAATAATCACCCTTGGTATGATATACAGTATTCGATTTGAGGAAAAGAAGACAAAGCAGTGTCTGAACATTTACAATAACTTTGTCCAATGTTCAGGTATCATGGCAGTTTGTCCATCCTACTGTGTGGAGATAGTTCCGTTTTCTGTAAATTATCCTTTAATCTAACCTAAGTGGCTGTTTAAACATGACTTATTTTAGTTGTTCCTTGAATATTCCAAGATAAGTTATCCTGAGTACTGTTGCTTTCTTCTTTTTTATCATTTGAGGGAGAGTGGTAGATAGGGGGAAATATGTGGGGGAAAGTGATATATAAAGGATTTTGTTTTATAAATAATAACTTTCTGGTACTTTTCAGTTACATGAGCAATTAATTCTCTTAGAAATCCTGAATATACCAGTAACACTTTTATATGCCATTATAGAGCATTGTATCAAAATTGGATAGACAGGACAAATTTGGAAAAAATATTCTTCTTTAACAAGGCATCAGGCCATTTTTTTTTCCTGGAGTGATACTGCGGTCATACCACATGTCTGTGTTACAAACTGCCTACTGCTGGGTATTACAGCATCACTGAAAAACCTTGGCTGTTGGGTTACAAAAAATCTAGATTAAGATTTAACTGCTACAGTTTTGACATGTGACTTTTCTTTTTTTATTATTATTTTATTATTATTATTATTTTTTAATAAAGATGGGGTTTCACCATGATGGCCAGGCTGGTCTTGAACTTCTGACCTCAGGTGATCCACCCACCTCAGCCTCCCAAAGTGCTAGGATTACAGGCGTGAGCCACCTCGCCCGGCTGACGTGTGACTTTTCACAAAGTATTTGAAAATATTAAAGCCTTAGTTTTCTGATTCTTTTTTTTAATTAGTGAAATGGAGATGATGATCAAGTTTTCATGAGGGCAAAATTAACTGAGTTGACACATATAAAGCACTTGGTAATTAGTTTCAGTAGATTTATAGTAAATGGCAGCCATTTGTTTTGGTACCTCCCCTTCATTCACAGGTGTTTATATTGGTCTTTATAATTTGGGATCATATTTATTGGCCATCTACATTTTAAATTTTTTTTTTTTTTTTTTTTTTAGACGGAGTCTCGATCTGTTGCCCAGGCTGGAGAGCAGTGACGTGATACTGGCTCACTGCAACCTCTGCCTCCCGGGTTCAAGTGATTCTCCTGCCTCAGGCTCCTGAGTAGGTGAGATTACATGCATGGGCCAACACACCCAGCTAATTGTTTGTATTTTTAGCAGAGATGAGATTTCACCATGTTGGTCAGGGTGGTCTCAAACTCCTGGCCTCCAGTGATCTGCCCACCTTCGCCTCCCAAGTTGCTAGGACTGCTGACGCGAGCCACTGTGCCTGGCCTTAAATTTCTCAAAAATAAGTGTCTGTTTTTTAAGTTTTTAGTAATAAATGATTTTTAACTTTATTATTTATTGAATGTATGCTACGCATAAAACAAACCTCATCTTAACAAAAGGATTATAATGAAAAGATTGCTGTATAGTATATTATGCCTTGTTTCTAAGTAATATATTGGTCTGCTTTACTCCAGGACTTGATTTTGTATGAATTCATCTCAGTTTTCTCATCCACAGAAAATAACAAAATTGAGGTTATTTCACTTTATTAACAGGGCAGGTGTTTGTTTGCCAGTGGCAGTCCATTTGGGCCAGTGAAACTCACAGATGGACGAGTCTTTACACCAGGTCAAGGAAACAATGTATACATTTTTCCAGGTAAATCACCATTATTTATGCTATAGAGCAATAGTTAATTATGTAAAAATACTTAATGGAATGCTTTAGAATGAAAGATTGAAATGAGCAACAGTATTTACAGAATTTTGTTATAAATGTACAAGAAAACTCAAGGAATTCATCAAATTCAACATGCTTCATTTTCTCTGAAAATTTATTCATATTGCTAATTAAATTTGTTTTTATTATAGAAATAATGTATTGCATGGTTTGTAAAAATGCAAAGGAACAGAATGGCACAAAATTATGTAACCCTCTCTGTCTCCCCTTGGTGTACCTCCCTATCATACTTCTCAGAACCACTGTCAGTAATGTGCTGGGAGTTTTTCTGGTGGTTTTCATCATGACTGATAAATTTATCTCCTTTTATTGATTCTTGCAACTCAACTGTATGTATGAATGTCACACTATGAAATATAAGTAATAGTGCACACATACCTTCTAATACCTTGCTTCCTCTCTCTACTGCTTAATTTGTCTTACTACTTTTAATTAGGTTTCCTAAGTAGTTACCTTTAATCTTTATATAACATACTTAAAGAGCTTTTCTTAGCAAGTTAAAAGTTTTCATTAGCCTGCCACAATGAAATATGAAAAACATCTGATGTTTTGCTTCTTCTCTCTTCTTATTCCGTCTCTCAGTTTGGGTTGTTAATATTTCTCCTTTGTACAGGGTTTTTGGACATTTGCATTTCGTTCTGTTGTCTATTGTGCTTTGTCTACAGGCTAATTCTGAATATTCAAAACCATGATTATATAAATACTATTCACCATCTAAACAGGAGTGTGATTTAATAAATAGAATATTCAGTTCTATATCACTAAATTTTTGACACTCAAGTATCAAGTGTAATGAATCCTCCTGTAATTTCTCGCCAGCTTTCTTCATTTCTTCTTACTTGGCAGAAAACTATTTATTGTATCCCATGTTGTTCTCTTTACTACCCATGTGGGCTACTGTTCTATTCTTAGCTCTGTCTCATGTTTCTAGAATACATCTTTGACTAAGTTTTTTTCTAAAGTATGGATAAAACTTGATTTTACCCATCTGAAAATATGTCTAAATTAGCTATGTCTTTAGATATATAAAATATGTGTTTATTTTGTCCTCTCACTTAATAGTTTGGCTAGGCAGAGATCTGTGGAGTCAGTCATTTTCCTCAGACCTTTGAAGACATTCTTTCATTTCCTTTTAGTGGCCAGTGAGATTCTCATTCCTTTACACATACTATTTTTTTCCTCTCTCAGAATCTTTAAAATTTTCTCTTTAGATTTCTAAAAGGTCACTGGAATGTTTTAGATGTTTCAAGTCTTTTTTTTTTTTTTCTTTTTATTACTGGAAATTTCCAACATGTAGGGTAGAGGCAATAATTGAAGTCTTATGTTCCAGTCTCCCACCTTTCAGCAGTTATCAACATGTAGCCAGTCTTATTTAGTCTATACTACTTCCCACCCACCCTACCTTCAATGAGTTTTTTTAAAGCAAGTCAGAGATATTGTGTAATTTCATTCATAACTACTTCAGTATATTTCTCTAGACAATTTGGTGTTCCTTTTTTTTTTTTTTTAGACGGAGTCTTGCTCTGTCATCCAGGCTGGAATGCAGTGACACAATTTCAGCTCACTGCAACCTCCACTTCCCAGGTTCAAGCAGTTCCCCTGACTCAGCCTCCTGAGTAGCTGGGCTACAGGTGTACACCACCACGCCAGGCTAATTTTTGTATTTTTAGTAGAAATGGGGTTTCACCATGTTGACCAGGCTGGTCTTGAACTCCTGATCTCATGTGATCTGCCCGCCTCAGCCTCCCAAAGTGCTGGGATTACCGGCATGAGCCATCACACCTGGCCAGGTGTTCTTACTTTTTAAATACAACCACAATCCTGGTATCACACTGAAGGAAGTTAACAATAATTACTTAATATCATTTATCATTAACTCAGTTCAACAACTTATATTTTATTCTAATAACTTTCTTTAATTCTAGAATTGCTCTTCTAAATAGCTACTTTTTAAAATAAAAATGGTTGCAGTATTCTTTCAGATTTTGTGTTTTGTTTTGTTTTTTGAGATGTAGTCTTGTTCTTGTCACCCAGGCTGGCATACAATGGCACAATCTTTGCTCACTGCAACCTCCGCCTCCCGGGTTCAAGAATTCTCCTGCCCCAGCCTCCTGAGTAGCTGTGGTTACAGGCGCCTGCCACCACGCCCAGCTAATTTTTGTATTTTTAGTAGAGATGGGGTTTCACCATGTTGGTCAGGCTGGTCTTGAACTCCTGACCTTGTGATCCGCCCGCCTCGGCCTCCCAATGTGCTGGTATTACAGGCATGAGCCACCATGCTCGGCCTCTTTCAGGTTTTTCTGGAGAATTATCAGTATTCCTTTCAATATTTCTTCCTTTGTGCTGTATTTTCCATAAATTTCTGGTGATCCTCAGATGTCTCTTTCTTTTAAGCGAAGAGTGTGTTGAGTAATTTGATATGATTTTCTTTTGCACTTGTGTCTTTTTTCTTTTGATAGTCCTTTCCCTGACTAGCTGACAGCAGGCTCTAATTAAGATATGACAAGTAGACTTACAGTTTACATAGGCTGGCATCAGGCGAGCATGTATAACTGTTGTCAAAGTAAAGAGGGTATTTAGTCTGTGAATATGTTGGTGCTTTTCTATTATTAATTTTTTTCTCTTTTTTCCCCCGTCATGTTTTCCTGTATGTCTCTTGAGACTTAACTTCTATAATAGAAACTGTCCCATCATCTGTAATCTCTTTCTAGAACGTGATAATGTTCAAAAATCAATGTTTTCTATTCAGTCATATTTCTGTGGCCTAAAAGGCATGAGAACAGGGAAGGAAATACTTTTCTGCTGATTTTAACAAAGCTATTTTTTTGAACCTTTTTTTAGTTTCAGGGGTACATATGAAGGTTTGTTATATAGATAAATTGTGTGTCGCAGGGGATTTCATGTATATTTTGTCACCGGGGTAATAAGCATGGCAACTTTTTTTATACTTATCCTCCTCTCACCCTCCATGCTTAAATAGCCCCCAGTGTCTGTTGTTCCCTTCTTTGTGTCCATGAGTTCTTATCACTTAGCTCCACTTACAAGTAAGAACATGTGGTATTTGGTTTTCTGTCCCTGTGGTAGTTCGCTTAGGATAATAGCCACCAGCTCCATCCATGTTACCGCAAAGGACATGATCTCATTCATTTTTATTGCTGCATAGTATTGTATTTTATTCATACACATGGTATATGTGTACCACATTTTCTTTATCCAGTCTACCATTGATGGGCATTTAGGCTAATTCCATGTCTTTGCTGTTGTGAATAGTGCTGCAGTGAACATACACATGCATGTGTCTTTATGGTAGAACAATTTATATTCCTTTGAGTATATACCCAATAATAGGATTACTGGGTTGAATGGTTGTTCTGAGTTCAGCAAAACCATTTTTTATGTCATATTTAAGGAATTTAGCAGTTGATTATTTTTATGTAACACTTCAAAGTCCTAACTTTAGTAACAGTTATGAATACATAAATATAGAATTAAAAATAACCTGACCAGGCATGGTGGCTCATGCCTGTGTAATTCCAGCATTTTGGGAGGTCAAGGCAGGAGGATTGCCTCAGGCTAGGAGCTTGAGACCAGCCTGGGCAACATAGTAAGACTTCTTTGTCTCTTCCACAAATGAAAAATATTAGCCAGGTGTGGTGGTGCATGCCTGTAGTCCCAGCTAGCCAGGAGGCTGAGGTGGAAGGATTGCTTGAGCCCAGGAGGTCCAGGCTGCAGTGAGCCATCATCATACCACTGCACTCCAGCCTGGGCAACAAAGTGAGACTGTCTCAAAGAAAATAAAATAAAATGACCTGGCATTTGAGGTAGAAATGAGCCTGAAAACAGGAGTATTGGCTGAAAGTCTGTTTATAAAGCAACTTTAAAAAAGCTCTGATAATGTTTGAATGACCTAGGCAAGCAACTCTTAACAGGGTGAAATTTTTTCAAAAACCTTAAAAGGGTCAAAAGGATAAGATATTGACTCTAATAAAATATTGGGGAATTCTGGACCAAGGTTAGGGAGGGAACTAATGCACAGAGAGGTGAGCCAGCTTTTGAAGCCAGTTTTACAGTGAAGGCACAGACCAGAAAGAAAGTGGCTAAGAGGTACAGCTGTGCTTGTCATGGAAGGTGGACAAGATCAGCACCGTGTCCCAGTCTGGCAACACCTCCCACTCTGGACTGAAACCCTAAAGTGCTGTACCTTGGAATGGGGTTATAGTTTGCAGCAGCAATGGGTGATTTAGAAAACCTCAAGCCTCTCTCAGGACTGCCAGTGCCCACAAGTGCCCAACAGAAGCAAACAAAAATTTCTCTGAAATAAGATAACACTATCCTAGTCCTCACTATCCTAGTTCTCAAATTATTTTTATAAATAAATCTTCAAGTACAACCTAAGTAAAAAAAAAAAANAAAAAAAAAAAAAAGAAAAGAAAAGAAAATGAGGCACATAAAGAGACATGACAACAGCCAAAACCAGCAAAACCACGAAGAACATACTAAAACCCTAGATATAACACAAACACCATGAAACAAATATGCTTATGTTTATAGAGATAAAAGCCAATCTTGAAAATTTAGACAAGTACCACTAAATTCTAGAATTGAAAAATGTAGTAATCTATAAGAACTGAGTGGGCCAGGTGTGATGGTTCATGCCTGTAATTTTAGCACTTTGGGAGGTCAAGGCAGAAGAATCGCTTGAGCCCAGGATTTTGAGACCAGCCCTGGAAACATAGTGAGATCCCCATCTTTACAAAATTAAAAATATATATATTAGGCATGGTGGCATATGCCTGTAGTCCTACCTACCCAGGAGGCTGAGATAGGAGCATCACTTGAGCTTGGGAGGTCAAGGCTAGAGCGAGTCATGATTGAGCCACTGTACTCCAGCCTGGGTAACAGAGCAAGACCCTGTCTCAAAAAAAACCCAAAAAACAAAAAACTGAGTGAATGAGGCTTATGGCAGATTAGACCATAGAGAATTAATCAACTGGAAAATATCTCAGAAGAAACAATTCGGAATGCAGCACAGAGAGACCAAAAAAAAAAAAAAAAAGGAAAACCTGGAAAAGTAGGTAAGAGACATTTCATTGATTTATCTTTAATTGAAGTCCTAGAAGAAATGAGAATGAAGCAGAGGCAACATTTGTAGGCCTGATGGCTGAGGTTTTTTTTTTTTAGAACTGATGATTGACAATCAATATTCAGAAAGCTCATAGAAACCCATGTGTGATGCATAAAAAGAAATCTACATCCAGAATCGTTATTGTGAGGCTTTATAGTCACCACAAAGAGAAGAATATGAAAGCAGCCAGAACACAAAGATTTCCTTCAAAGAAGTGACCGTTAGACTGACAGCAGATTCCTCAGTGACAATAAGATACTGAGGCAGTGGAATGACCTATTAAAGTTGCTTATGGGAAATACTTGCCAACCTAGAATTCATGACACAGTGAAAATATTCTTCAAGAATTAGGCAAAATGAAGACATTTTCAGAAAAACAAAAAACCGAGGATTCACCACCTGGCAGATCATTTTTATATTAAAGGAAAGGAAATTTTGTTACTTAGGGAAAAAGAAAATAATCCTACATAGAAACTCTGAGATGTAGGAAGAAATGAAGAGCAAAGAAGTTATAAGGGGGTAGGTACGACAAAATTAATGTTATTTATATAGAGTGAAACAAAAATGATAGGCATTTTGAAAAATACAGAGAGAATTAAAATGCACAACAATAATAGCTCAGTTAAATAGAGTTAAACTGTTATGAGGGACTTACATTGATTGGTAGGAAGGTAAATTAAAAATTAATGTGGAGCTGGAGATGTTGGCTCATACCCGTAATCCCAGCACTTTAGGATATCAAGGTGGGAGGATCACTTGAAGCCAAGAGTTTGAGAGACTAGCCCTGGCAACATAGGGAGACTATGTCTCTACCAAAAAAAATTTTTTTCTTTAATTAGCCAGGTGTGGTGACATATGCCTGTAGTCTCAGCTACTCAGGACACTGAGGCTGGAGGATTGCTTGAGCCCAGGAGTTTGAGGTTACAGCAAGCTTTGGTCGTGCCACCGCACTCTAGCCTGGGTGATAGAGCGAGATCCTGTCTCAAAAAAAAAAAAAAATTTAATGTGGAATTCTGGTAGTTAAAGATGCATGATATAAATTTTAGGATAACCATTAGAATACTACAAAGACTTCCTGTTTATGGTAAGGTAATGGGATGAAATGAGACAACAAAAATTTGAAAAGCAAGAAAGAAGAGGAAAAGGAACATAGAATAAACAAGGCAAGATGAGATGAGAGTGATGGGACTAAGTGGGATGAAATCTGCCCCAGCTACTTAAAAAAATAAATAAATAACTACATTAAATGTAGGTGGACCAAATTCTCTACTTAAAAATGCTATTAACTGTGTGACCTTCTCAGCCCTGGGTAATCTGACAACTAACCTTTCTGAAAGCTGGCTGGGATAGTCTTTGAATAGAGTAAACATTGTTTCTAGGCTGGGAGACACCATAGTTGAGGACAGAGGTGCTAGAAAATAGGAAGTTTAAAAGCCTGTATGCTCAGAGGCAGTAAACCCCACCCTTACAGCTTCCAATCATTTTCTTTAGTTCTTAACCTTTAAATGAGAAATGCTGAAAGATTACTAGTCATCTGAGGAAAGTCTCTCTATGAAAGAGTTTCATAAAAGAGACCAAAGCAGACAAAAAGGAAAAGACATCTTGGAGGAAAAACAAGGATAATGGGAAGAAAAGGAAAGTTTTAAGAATTATCAATATCCTCAGGGGGACAAAATATTATATCGTATAAACAAGACAGAATGTTATTTTTTTAAAAATTAGAAAACAAAACAAGCTCCTAAAAGTGAAGTTTTGTAGCAGAAAGATAGAAGAAAAAGATGATTGAGTTACCTCAAAATAGAGCAAAGGACAGAATAAGGAAAATAAAGCAGAAAAGTGGCCAATCCAAGAGGTATGATATCAGAAAATACAGATTTCAGGGAACAAGAACAGAAAAATGGAGGGAAATGAATCCTTAAGACTTCACAAACATTTCCCAAAACTGAAAGACTTAAGTTTTCAGATAGGAAGCGCCTACTGACTGAATGCTAAACGTGATGAGTTAAAATAATGCACATCAAGGCACAGTGTTATGAAATTGCAGACCATTAGGTATAAAAATAAGGATCTGGCTGGGCTTGATGGCTCATGCCTGTAATCCCAGCACTTTGGGAGGCTGAGGCAAGAGGATTCTGTGAGTCCAGAAGTTTGAAACCAGCCTAAGAAGCATAGTAAAACCCTGTCTCTACAAAAAATTAAAAAGATTAGCCAGGTGTAATGGTACATGCCTGTAATCCCAGCTACTCAGCAAGCTGAGGTAGGAGGATCACTTGAGCCCATGGAGGTTGAGGCTACAGTGAGCTATGATTGTGCTACTGTACTCCACTCTGGGTGACAGAGTGAGACCCTGTTGCCAAAAAAAAAAAAAAAAAAAAATTAAAAAGGGTTCCTACATGCATCCAGAGATTAAACAAAAACAATCACCTCAAAAGGATCTGAACTCAAATTGATGCTTCTTACCAGCAGTAGAAGCTAGATGGTATTGGAATAATACCCCACAGTTCTGAAGGAAAAATATTTCCAAGCCAGAATTCTAAACCTTGACAAACTATCAAGTATAAGTAGAAAGAAGTAAACAAACACATTTTCAGAAATGCAAAATTTCAAAAAATATGTATCTCCCCTGCACTGTTCTTCAGAAAGCCATGGGAGAATGTACCCTACCAAAAGAAGGAGTAACAAAAAAGTCAGGAAAAGTTGGATTTAGGAAATGGAGTCAACTTAGAAGCAAAGAGGCCCATGATGATAAAGTGGTTTTCTAAGATGACAGCTCCGTAGCTGGAATGGGGGACATCCAGACCGGAATGGAGCTTTAGCAGAGATTTATTCTAGAGCATGAAATTAGAGAAAATAGGTCGGGTGCAGTGGCTCACTGATGCATGTAATCCCAGCACATTTGGGAGGCTGAGGTGGGCAGATCATGAGGTCAGGAGATCGAGACCAGCCTGGCCCACACGGTGAAACCCCAGCTACTTGGGAGGCTGAGGCAGGAGAATCGCTCAAACCTGGCAGAGGTTGCAGTGAGCTGAGATTGCACCATTGCACTCGAGCCTGGGCAACAGGGCGAGACTCATCTCAAAAAAGAAAGAAATTAGAGAATATTTAAAATAGCTGAAATATAAGAAGGATTTAGACAATTGAGTGAGATTCCAGGGTGAAATAACAACGTTAATTACTAAAAAATCAAAGTAAAGTAAAAAAGGACAATTATTAACTTCAGGAAAGACAAAGTTATGCAGAAAAGGAAAAGTAATCATGATATAGTGTTAATGCATGGCTCAACTGCGAATAGCATTTATGAAGTCATAATAATATAAACATTGAATAGTGATATAACCAAAATTATGCTCTAACTATACTGGGAAGAGAGAAAGCTGAAAATATAAAAGAGCACTAAATACTTAATTTTCACAGGAAGGAGTCAGTGATCTCCAAAACTCAGAGATCACAAGTTCAGCACCATAAGAAAGGGCAAAAAAAGAGAAAAAAAAATCACAAGACACATAAGTTATTTAAGAGTGAGAGAAACATTAATCAGCAAAAAAAAATTGAAAGTCATTGCCTCTGTAAAGCAAGAAATAGAGGGTTAGAGGTGGGCTGGGAACTGGGTATTAAAACAAGTGTTAATTGTATGTATTTGTAATTTTCATAAATGCAAAAACAACTGAGAAAAGCCATTTGATATTTCAAAAATTATTTAGCAAATAAGAATCATTAACTAAAGATTGTTTGATTTTAACTCAGATTTCTGTTTTTTCTTGGCTGTTTTCTGTTTTTTGGGGAGCTATTTGGGATGTGGATGGGTTATCATCTATTTGCCTGAACACAGGAATTGACTTCTTTCATAATTTGAAAAGTGATCTTACTAAGTAAACTTTAAAATGTATTCTAGGTGTGGCTTTAGCTGTTATTCTCTGTAACACCCGGCATATTAGTGACAGTGTTTTCCTAGAAGCTGCAAAGGTAAATATTTTAAATGTTGTTTATTTTATAAAGGATGAACAGATCTGAAAATTAAAATTATAAAGATGAACAGATCTGAAAATTAAAAGCAGGGAGATAATGGGTTAAATCTGCCTTATTAATGAAGTTACTCATAAACTACTTTTATGAATTGCCTATTTAGGCATAAAATTATGTTTTTAATCATGACTTTTCATATGTTTGTAAACTGAACCCTCTTAATAACACTTTTAGACTGTATTTATGTTATATATATCTGGATATATTGTGACAGCATAAATAATTCCTTGCATGTTTTTAATGAACAAGTACTGGTATTATTTGGAGTGCGAGCCTATGGGAGCTCCAGACTTTGAGGTATTTCTGAATAACTCACATTAATACATTTAATGTCTGTTTTCAAAGTAGCCATTGCAATTAAGCCAAGCTCTACATGTATAATGTAAAGTAGAATGTATCAGTAAGTCTTTAAATCTGGTTATTTATTGTTTAGTGGTGAATGGTTATAATTTCTGCAGTGGTTTAAGTGTATTCCTTCAAGAAATAAGGGAAATTATATTACCTGTATTACTCTCTGTTTCCCCAGTGCTTTTTCCATTTTACAGGGTCCTTATTCTGTTATTTAAAAAAAAAAAAAAAAAGGCAAAATGCTGTTTTTCTCTTCAGGCACTAACAAGCCAGTTGACGGATGAAGAGCTAGCCCAAGGGAGACTTTACCCACCGCTTTCTAATATTCAGGAAGTTTCTATTAACATTGCTATTAAAGTAAGTAATAACTTAAACTTTTTCATATTAATTTTAATGACATTTTCTTATACAATAAATACAAATTTATTAGAGATAAATCTTAAATATTTAGAAGGCTGCAGAAGCTGGGCGCAGTGGCTCATGCCTATAATCCCAGCTACTTGGGAGGCTGAGGCAGGATAATGCTTGAACCTGGGAGGCAGAGGTTGCAGTGAACTGAGAGATAGCACTACTGTACTTCAGCCTGGGCAACAAGAGCAAAGCTCCGTCTCAAAAAAATAAAAAATAAAAAAAGTAATAACAGTAATAACAGTGTAGTGAACAGCCATCCTTACAAATAAATCTATGTGTGTATTTGTGATGGTTTTTCTTTGCCATAAATTCTAAGCTTAAGAACCAAGGTTTTTAAGGTGTTTAAGGCTTCTGATGCTTATTGTCAAATAATCTCTTCAGAAAGTAAGTACTGATTTACATTGCAGCAATTAGATATGAGTGTATCTTTTTCCACACTTTTGCCAATAGTTAGAATTATTTTTTTAATCTTGCATATTTAATAGGTAAAAATTGTTTTGTTTCTCATTTTTATTTAAGGCATTTATTAGTGAGATTGAAGAATTTTTTTATTTATTCAACAATTGTATTTTTTTGAGACGGAGTCTCACTGGGTCGCCAGGTTGCAGTGGCACAATCTCTGCTCACTGCAACTTCAACTCCCTGGTTCAAGCGATTCTCCTGCTTCAGCCTCCCGAGTAGCTGGGATTACAGGCACAAACCACCATGCCAGCTAATTTTTGTATTTTTAGTAGAGACAGGGTTTCACCATGTTGGCCAGGATGGTCTCGATCTACTGACCTCGTGATCCACCAACCTCGTGATCCACCTACTTCTTCGATGAACTACTTTTCCATGACTTTTGCTCTTTCTTGTATTAGATACTTGCCTTTCTACTTTCTGGTATTGATTTCTGAGGGCTTTTTATATATTAAGTGTAGTGATCCTCCTATTTGCTGTGGTGCAGATGTTTTCACATTTGTCACTTGTTTTAACTTTATAGAATTGTTTGACATGTTTTTTTAAAGTTTTTTTATGGGATTATTTGTTTATTTTTTGGATTTTGTCCTCACCTTTTGTGAATATTAATGCCTTCTGTCCAAATCATAAATATTTACTTGCATTTTCTAAAATAAAACTTTTTAGTCTCTCTGGAATTTATTTTAATGTATGATAAGAGAAATGGAAACATTTTTTTCCTGAGTAGTTAACCAGTCGCCCAGCATTATTTATTGATTAATGCATCTGTTGTTTCCAGTTAATTGGGAGTTGAATCTGTTCCTGGAATTTCTATTCCTGACCATTTTTGTTTAGTATCTGACACTGTTTTAATTTTTTTTTTTTTTTTTTNTCATGAATTCCTACTATGTACTGGGTGGTGAATTAGATCCCATGTTCATGCAATTATCCCAATGACCCTGCCAGGTAGGTAGAATTCACCCTTTTTTTTGAGACAGCATCTCGCTCTGTCATCCAGGCTGGAGTGCAGTGGCGCATTCTTAGCTTACTGCAACCTCCAACTCCCTGGTTCAAGTGATTCTCCTGCCTCAGTCTCACATGTTTTAATATTTATAATGTGTATAATATGGTAACATTTGGTTCTTTATCTTTCCCATCATTATGCTTTTTCAGTATTTTCTTGTCCTCAATTTTTTTCTTTTGCATAAATTTTTGTATCCGTTTTTTTAATTTAAAAAACTCTGCAACTTTGGTATGAAATTATTACATTTATAAATTAGATTGGTGAAATTGGGTCTCTCAGTATTGAGTATTCTCCAGTCAGTATCTCTCTTTACTTATTAAGGCCTTTTCAAAAAAATCTTTCAATATAATTTTGTTTTCTTCATTGGAATATGGCATTTTTACTTTTTTTCCAAAATATTTAAAAATTTATGTTATTCTAATATAATAGACATTTTTTTCTTTCCAAGTATTTTCTTATTGATCATTTCTAATATATAGGAAAAGGTAGGAATAATAATTCTAATTTGAAAACATAATCATTTTTATGAATTTACTTGATAACCAGTTTTTTGAACAATCTTAATAGTTTTTCATTTCATTTGGAATTGTTTTTAATTGTCTGCAAGTAATTTTTTCTTTTTTAATATGCATAGTCCTTTTTTCTCTAACTATAAATTAGCTGAAACTGCAGAATAGTTTTAAGCAATTAGATTGGTAAGGGCATTCTTGTATTTTTTTTTTCAATTTATAGACAGTCTGTATTGCCAAGCTGATTTCAAACTCCTAGGCTCAAGTGATCCTTCTACCGCAACCTCCTGAGTAGCTAGAGCACATACCACCACACCTGACTAACATCTTTGTATGGTAATATTAAATATGATGCTAGCTTTTGATTGAAATAAGGATTTTCTACTTTTTAAAATAAGTAGGCTTCTATTTCTAGCTTACTAAGATTTTTCTTAAACATCAGGATTGACTGTGGAATTTATCAACCACAATTTCAACTTCTGTATAAAATTTTATCATATAATATCATAAAATTTTATCGTTTTGACAATTAATTTTTTTTTTTTTTTGGAGACAGGGTTTTACGCTGTCACCCAGGTTGGAGTGCAGCAGTGTGACCTCAGCTCCCTGCAACCTCTGCCTCCCAGTCTAAAGCAATCCTCCCACCTCAGCTTCCCGAGTAGCTGGGACCATAGGCATGTGCCACCATGTCCAGATAATTTTTTTTGCATTTTTGGTAGGGACAGAGTTTTGCAGTGTTGCCCAGACTGGTCTCGAACTTTTGAGCTCAGGAGATCTGCCCACCTCGGCCTCCCAAAATACTGGGATTATAGGGGTGAGCCACCATGCCCAGCCTTGAGTGCCCAGCCTTAACTATTAATTTTATTATTGCATTATTTTGGTGCCTATAATCTAAGCAAAGATTGGGAATTGGTATGTTTACAGAATAATAATTGAGCCTGGAGTCTAACAAACAGGTAGGGAAATGGCATAAAAGAAAATTTGAAAGTTATATTAAAGCCAGCTGTACCAATTTACAAATGCCAGGCTACAGAGTGTGATTACCTTCTATTGTAAAACAATTGAAGATTTTATAGAGCCCAGAACTAGGATGATAGAGTTCAATTAGAATTTATAGAATGATATTTCAGGTGGGGCAGATTTTGGAAGATATTGGTCAGTTAAGAGATTACTGGGCCAGGCACAGTGGCTCACCCCTGTAATCACAGCACTTTCAAAAGCCAAGGCAGGAGGATGGCTTGAGGCTGTAAGTTTGACACCAGTCCTGGACAACAAAGCAAGATCTCACCTCTACCAAAAAAAAAAAAAAAAAAAAAAAAAAAAAAACAAAAAAAAAAAAAAAAAAAAAAAAAAAAAACAAATTAGCCAGGCACAGTGATGTGCCTGTAGTCCCAGCTACTCAGGAGACTGGGGTGGGAGGATTGCTTAAGCCCAGGAGGACAAGGCTGCAGTGAGCTATGTTCATACCAGTGTGCTCCAGTCTAAGTGACAGAGCAAGACCCTGTCTCTAAGGAAAAAAAAAGAGATAATTGGTATGTCCAAATGAGAGGTAGTACATAAGGTCATAGAAGGAGACCTCTGCCTGGGATTAGAATAGGTGCACGGGCCCAGGTTCATGTCTCTGCACTTCCCCAGAGGCAGGAGTAGAGAGTGTGCTGCTTCTGCAGTGGCATAAGCTTTTCTTTCTAGAAGCAAAGAAGAAAGGGTTAGGTTTTCATCGTGGTCTCTCTCTCTTGGCAGGCTACCTATATGTATTTACTGGAGTGACACATAGTAGAACTTAAAAGTGTTTGATTTTATCTCTTAAACTTTCCATAGTTTCCAAATGTTTTGAAATGAATCAAAGTAATGTTATTCCTTTTTTTGAAAAAAGAAAAATACCATTCTTCTAAACTTATTTTCCTGTGTTATAATAGTATGTTGTCTCTCTAACAGGTTAATACTCAGAGCCTACGCAATAACCTTATTTATTTTTCAGGTTACAGAATACCTGTATGCTAATAAAATGGCTTTCCGATATCCAGAACCTGAAGACAAGGCCAAATATGTGAAAGAAAGAATATGGCGGAGTGAATATGATTCCCTGCTGCCAGATGTGTATGAATGGCCAGAATCTGCATCAAGCCCCCCTGTGATAACAGAATAGAAGCACTCCCCTGATAAATACTTTCTGTGCTCCAGAGAACCCCTTTTTTCAGACAAGAAGAAATAATGTCCTCAGTTTTATGATGTTTTCTGTGTTTTGTTCTCCCTGACCACTTTGGTTGATGTATTTTTTCCATGCATCTTCACATCTGTTGGAGTAGATGTGTTGATGGATTGCACTGCCCAGCAGCATCTTACAATCAGATAATCGTGATGCTTTAATTCTAACATACAGCCCATGCCACATCCAGGAGATGTAAAAAGTGTGTTTGTGAATGTCTTCATTTATACTCTAATTCAGAGTTGCCAAAGTATTTGCTATTTACTATTATGGGTAATAATCTTCTCTCACCTAGTTCTTTTAGAGCTACTAAAATAGAAGTTTATGGATAGAAGGACAGAATTTTGAGAAGAAACTAAATTCCAAGGAAAAATTGTCAGTATCTAAAAATGTTCTATATCTGCTTCATCTTACCTTCATACTCTGAAATTCCCTTATAGCAGACAAAGCTAGGGATATATTAAAATTTTACCCTATTTATTTTCTGGAACTAAATCAAGGCTTAACTATAACATTATGAGAGTAATGGGTACTACTGCTGGCTTTTAAATAAATAAAAGTCATTGTTTCAACAGTATATAAAAATCATAGTGTAACCTTTTTATTTAATAAATATCTTCAATTTAATTGCTTCAGTTATGCTGTCTTACTGCTCAACTAGAAATTTAGATTTGCTTATTATGAAAAACACGTATTTTCATTACTTCTAGATGATTCTAGGAGGGAGTATAGGATACCTAACACATATGGGAGACATCACGTGACTTTTAAAATCTAAGTCATGCTTCACATCAAAATGAGTCATATTTAACTGGAGAAACTGTGCCCTTATTCCAGCACTGATGTTCTTTATTACTTGAGATAATTTTGCAATGTTACAAATGTTACTATGATACTATTTCTTTGAATATCATTAGTAGTGACAACTCTTTCACCATTGAAGGCAGATTTAATTTTTTTAAACCACCAAAATTAATTTAGAGCTAAGTGGGGATTAATAAGGTTGGTGGTATTCATCCAGGAAATGCCCTTTTCAATCCCAGTAAAATAATAACGGCTAATGAGAACAATTTTCTTATGTGGCTTGCATATTGGAGAATTCTAAAGGAAAATGTATCTGCCTACCATAGTTGCTTTGAGGGAAGAAAACTTTTAAATGCTCACTATAGGATAGTAACAACAGATAGTCATCGATAATATGAGTATGCACAGTATTTTATATTGCTTTGTAGGAAAAAGACCAGTTTTTTCATCTTCTGCCTATAGAAATTGATTCATAATATATATATATTTTTTTTTTTTGGTGACAGTTCTGCCTTGTCGCCCAGGCTGGAGTGCAATGGCACAGTCTCAGCTCACTGCAACCTCTGCCTCCCGGGTTCAAGCCATTCTCCTACCTTAGCCTCCCAAGTAGCTGGGATTACAGGTACCACCACCACACCCAGCTAATTTTTGTATTTTTAGTAGAGACAAGATTTCACCATGTTGGTCAGGCTGGTCGCAAACTCCTGACCTTAGATGATCCACCGACCTTGGGCTCCCAAAGTGCTGGGATTACAGGTGTGAGCCACCACACCTGGCCCAATTCATAATAATTTTGAATGTAATTTAATACTTTCAAAATGGTTGCAAGGGCATTGCCATTTGGAGTATGGGAAAATGCAGTTGGCTAATTCATTGAACAGAGGTGTAGTCAGAAGTCTTTTTCATAACATATGGTCACAATTTCTTTCTTCTAATTAAAGATGAAAGGTTTATGAGTTTCGGTTTGTTTTAGATACGGGGTTTTGCTATGTTGCCCTTGCTAGAGGGCAGTGGTTATTCACAGGCACAGTCATAGAGCCCTGCAGCCTGGAACTCCTGGTTCAAGCTCTCCTCCCACCTCAGTCTCCTGAACAGCTTGGGCTAAAGGTGTGCACCATTGCACCTGGCTGAGAGGCTTCTGTTTTTCATGTTCCCTTTATCAAAACAAAATCACCCCTAAAAATACTCTGTGTGAAATCATGATTTTAGTTCAACATAAGAAGTACAATAAGTGTAACCTGTTTCTTGCTTGGTGCTTATTGAAGGCAGGAACATGTGCTGAATTAAAGTAATTTTACTAAGAAGTTTGCTTATTAAGCACGTCTGGTACAGTCTTCATGGAAGTTATTCAGCATTTTAAGGAAAAAATAGGCTAAATGGCATATAGCCTGCTTAAATGAAACAATTCTTTTTTTTTTAAAAGCTCCCTGTTTTCATTGTTACTTACCAATCAGTATTTTAACAAGTATCAATTATTGGATGTAAATTAAAGTAAAATTGCTTAATATTTAAGCTAAGAATACAGGAAGGACTATTAGCATTGAGGAAATAGGGGGAGACCAGAATGGCGTCAAGCTGGAAAAAAAATGTTACCTTCGGTGAGACTTTACATAGCAAGAAGGTAGTTATTTTGAAGAACAGCAATAGAGAATCTTATTTTGAATTGAGAAGAAATTCTAATGATTATTGTGTCAGTGAGTCATAGGAAAAGGTGAGAATACATGTGTTTCTAATCTCCCACCACCACCAGTTGTGTGGAACAAATTGGATTACTAGCAAGGGTAAGGTTTATTGGCAATAATGAGAAGTTTTAGTCCAAGATTTTAGTTAAAATATATATATTTTAATTTTTATTGTACTTTAGGTTCTGGGGTACATATGCAAATCATGCAGGATTATTGCATAGGTACATACATGGCAAGGTGGTTTGCTGCCTTCATCCCTTATCTCCTCTATCTGGTATTCCTCCCCTCATTATCCCTCCCCCCACCCCTCCCCCCGCAACTGACCACCATGTGTGATGCTCCCCTCCCTGGGTCCACGTCTTCTAATTGTTCAACACCTGCCTATGAGTGATAACACGCCGTGTTTGGTTTTCTTGTCTTTTAAAGGGTGAATTCTTAACCAAGAAGGTGCCTCAGATCACTGTGAAGCTTTAAAATGCAAGTGCCTTTGTTCCTCTTCCCTCCAGGCCCCCAGGGGCAGAGCCCTGGCTGGTGTCTTTTCACAAGGTCCCCTAACACACTGATTCTGCCCTGACAATCGCTGCCGTAGAGCAGGCAGCAGAATCTTTTGGCGAACTAACTGGATTCTGATGCTGATGGAGCGGGCCTGGGGTGGAGCCTGAGACTTTTTTTTTTTTTTTTAAGACAGGGTCTCTCTCCCTCTCTCACCCAGGCTGGAGTGCAGTGGCACGATCTCAGCTCACTGCAACCTGTGCCTCCTAGGCTCAAGTGATCCTCCCACTTCAGCCTCCCGAGTAGCTGGGACTACAGGTATTAAGTCACCACACCTGGCTAATTTTTGTATTTTTAGAAGAGATGGGGTTTTGCCATGTTGCCTGGGCTAGTCTCGAACTCCTGACCTCAAGTGATCCACTTGCCTTGGTCTCCCAAAATGCTGGGATTACAGGCATGAGCCACTACAGGCATGAGCCACCACATCCAGCCAACAATGCCGTTTCTGACAAGCTCCCAGATGATGCCTTTGCTGCTGGTACTGAGAACAACATGCTGAGAAGCATTGCCCCAGGGTACTGCATGCAGTGGGCAGTTCTTTAGTGTTTATGTATCCTATACTTCAATTTACATGAAAAAGATCAACTGAAATTAAGTTCTTACACAAAATAGTTTTCATCTAGTTTTATTATGTTTTTACAGGCTGTTTATAAGAACAAAAAATACAGAATTTTTGAACGTATTTTTCTGAAAACAAAAACTAGAATACTCTTGAATTCTAAACTGTAGATTTGTAGTATACTTTGTAAAGCTAGCAACCAATTTTTATTTGCAAAAGATTAGCTATCAAATGGACATTTATTTCTCCTCTGTTAGTTTTCTTACGACTTACCTTATCCTTTGTCCTTTTTCTGTAAATCATCAACCTTTGGAGAAATAGGATTTTACATTTTTGCAAATGAGTTGCCAATATATTAAGACCAAAACATCCTTATTAAGGAGTATGGAGCATTATTTACTGGCTGTCAGAGAACAGAAAACCCAAAAAGGTGGGTGGGGAGTGAAGAAAGTCTTGCCTTGGGAAAAATACTTCACCAAATGCTCTGGTAGATTTTTTCTCAAGCCCATTCAGTATCCTTCAAGGATAACTTTTTCATACTTTTTTTTGGTTTGTTTGCTTCTGCTAGTTTTATGACAGAGGTTATAATACTCTTTTCTCCTCTCTTCTTTGACATGTTATGTTTTTTTTTTTTTTTTTTTTTTTTTTTTTTTTTTTTTTTTTTTTTTTTTTTTTTTAACTTCTTCACACTCTTAACAAAGCTTCAGGGCTCTGTTGAATTCACCAAAATGGAGTCAGCTCTGGTGAGCCTATGTAATACTGAATAACATTAATATAAAGCCATAGCTCTTTACTGGGCTGCCATTTAAAGGGAAGTCCTAACGAACTAAATGGCACCAACATCGTGTTTCCAAGACAAGACCTCACGTGTTCAGGTGCAGCCATGTATTCATATAGCTCTCAACTGGTTCATGATTTGCACTTTGTGCATCTAATTATTAAATGAAACTCTATAGGTGAGCTGAAGTAACATACTTCATATTTAAAATATTCACAGCAGTTTGACCACAGAAAACTTTCTCATCTGAAATAAGGATAAGATTTTTTCTTAATGTAAGCAGAGAAAAAACTTAATGTTTTATTTCAAATTTCAGTAAATTCAGGTAGGTCTAATTAAAACATGACTATTGACTAGTGATTAGATTTTAAAACATTACTTTCCTTTCTTGAATAAAGAAAATTGTGCCTCTCAAAGAGAAAAGTAAATATGGAAATATGTTCAGTTGCATAAAATAGACACATTAAGTCAAGTGAGTTGAATGCTTAGTATCTTTTGGTAAACAGCATTTTGTCAACAAACTTTTCATTTGGCTATAGAATCTTGTTTTTTCCAAATAAAAACTTTGCAGTTGGGAAAGTTATTCCTCCATTCAGCACACTTTTTAACTAGGGGAAACTTGTGGCTATATAGTCATCAGTTTTCAGGATTTTCTTTTATGTTCTAGAAAAGTTATTTTTCCTTTCCTAATTTTAAGTGTATATTCTAGCAAGTCATTGAGTCCTGTACAGCCATTGAATTATCACCAACACATCTGATATAGACAGTGGGCTAATGACAAACTAAATGTTACAAATAATACTACTCTAAACCAGACATTGTTCTGGGGATCTGACATATTTAATCCTCACTGCTACCCTGTTTCTGTTTCCTGATTTACAGAGAGGGACAGAGGCACAAAGAGATTAAATGACTTGTCATAGGTCTTATGATGAGTGGCAGAGCCTGGATTTTTAGCTCAGACCCCTCTCAGAGTGAAGAAATCTGTGTGGCGATTTTATGTAATACCTTCAGGAATTGTTACTTCGGATGAGAATTCTTACCTATTCTTATGAGATTAGTCTTCCACCCTTTTTAATACATTTTACCAGTTTATCTGATGTTTACTTTGTTCCCATTTATAATTCAAATACAATATAAACCTTTTATTCATTTAGTCTTCATTTTAAGTACTGGATACAAACAGTAAAGATTTGGCTTTGAATTGAATAAATGACACCAAAAAGTCTATTCACTAACATCTTTTGAT